CCGATGGCTGTTCGATAAGTCAGGAGGGAGAGGGAGCAAACTCGATAACAGAGTCGGCGGGTAAGGGCAGCGGCTATTTTGAGCTATCGGCCCCATGCGCTCTAATCGGGATGTCGAGCCGTCTTATACAAAAGCGATCCAATGTTGGAGGTCTGTGGAAGTGGCCAGGGCACTGAGAAAGAAAGCAGTATTTCGTTACATGCTTGTGGATGAGCATATGCAGCAATGCCACCCCGGCCACTGACGGCCGATAAGCGGGACCAACATCCGCATATAGCTAATCGCATACACTGCAATACAATGGGTATACGGTGGGTATGTGTACTGCAACGAGCATGGGCCTGCAATGACGAACGAACGGGTGTAAGACGAGTGAGAGGCACACGCTGAGGGCTACCTGTCTGCTCCTGGGCATGCTAGAGAAGCGGCAGGCAGCGAATCGCGCGGGGGAAGGCTTAACTTATTTGAGAAAATATTTTCGAAAGAAAAAATGTTAGAAAAAGTAGAAAATTTTAGGATTATTTCAGAAAAGGAACAATTCATTTCAGAAGATATTTATATTGGCGACACGCCGAAGCTGATACGCACATAGACGAACGCTAAAATGCATCGTTGAGAGATGAGACGGCCCCAAGGAGTGCGTGTTGAGGAATCGGCGCGCAGTGGAGACGCGTGCTGAGAGCGACCTCAGCCGAAAGCGGACTCGCATCGGCGCGTTTAAACGCGGGGCATCGTCACGTACACGGGCCCACAGTGAGATGCACCAAGAACGGATGGCGAGCAGGAGGTTGGTGGGTCGGTTGGCCGGCCGGTGGGAAGTTCAGATGGGTAGCGCCCGTTCGGCGGGAGGGCAGGGCAGGGCAGTGACCGGCGTGCCCGTGGAAGAGTGGAACAGGATCGTGTCTGGCCGGAGGGAGAGAGCGTTAAGGCTGTGATGACCTTGGGGCGGGACTGGGACCGACGGTGTGAGGGTGGGACAGGGTGGCGACTGGTCTGCGGGAGAACACCGCAGGATAGTAACCGACCTGTGGGAACGTGGGACAGGGCAGTGACCGGGGTCTGAAGTGGAAGAGTGGTTGGGTGAGTGGGACAGAGAAGCTACCGTCCTGTGGTAGCTGGACATAGCTGGACTGTGGTACCGTCCTGGAGGATCAGCCAGGGCCATGTCCGAACTGTGGGATGGGCGGGTGAAGGGGTGTCGGCCGGCCGGCGACCGATTGATCCCCGGCCGCCGCACCTGTTGGGGGTTCGTGCCGGTGTCGGACGGGCCGCCGGCACGCGACGTCACCGACCCGCCGACAGGCGCCCGCCGGTGACTGCCGCAACCGCAGCGCCATTAGCACTTGAGTGGGAAACGGGGGTGGGGCGCATGGAGGCCACCCGGAACCGAGGTCGAGGGTCCGACCGCTATGACCCCGGTCCAGCTCGAATGAGGGCACATATGTCTCCGGCCGGGTGGTGCCAAGAGGCTGGTAGTGTTGGAAATGGCAATACTGTCCTCATTTCATGGTGCAGGATTTAAATTGGTTAAATTTCGGGAAGTAATTGAAGTGCCGATTGGAAAACGAGCCCAGAACTGTCCAATTTTGCAATTCCTTGCAAAAAACAATATGGGGCTTTTAAAGGTTGATGACCATAACAGTGGCATGCGCTCATAAACAAACCACGATTGCTTACTGTTTGTAAGGAGCCGCTGCGATACAAAATTAATCACGAACTACAAAAAAATGTCCGCGTAGCGTGCACCTTGAGAGCAATGCATCATCATATATATGTCATCTGATCCCGACCCCTTTTGCTACTCTGCCTGGCTGAGCCGACCCAATCCGTTGTGGATTGGCCACGACCGCTCATTACGCTCCTTGCCTGGCGCCCAGAGCTGCTTCGGAAGCGGTCAGGGGGCGACCCGCCCGGTCGATGTCGTTCCGCACGAATCTAACCGGGCCAATTCATTTATACCGTGACCACTTGATTGGGCCTGCGGCCGTTCCGTACCGCCGTCCGAACCGAATGGGGGCCAGGCAAACAAAGGTACGAGCGTCGCACGCGCAGCTCATCGTGATGAAAGTTGGGGTTAATGCGACTAAATTAGGGATGTCGGATTTTTTATTGAGGCTATCTATTCTTGTCGCAATCTCGTTCGATTGACCATGTGCGTGCTTGCTCGCCATGGGATTCAAGCGTTCGATGTTCTTTATTTTGTAGGAACCTTTTTTGAAACACGTGTTCAGTATTATTTGCCAACCGACTGAGGAAGAGTATGGAATATGTGTGAAAGGACCCAGGCTCATGGAAAATTCAGGAAACAAACTATCTTTTCTTTTTTCCTCTTTACACTGATTACTGCCTTCTGGTCTCACTGCGACCGGCCAATTTCGAACGCTCAGGTTGGCATTGTACAGCCTGCAATTAAACAACTAAAATGTTGTGGCATTTTTTATCTACTATTGTAACTTTATGCAAAATTTTGCTCATATCCTTTCGATGGAAATCCGAGGTGACGCCATTGTGTTTTGCACCAGCAGCCCGTTCCGAACTGGAGCAACACCACATATTGCACGTAATTGTTTGCGTTTGCAATGAAATGCCGCTGATTGGAAAAGTCTGACGTCGTGCCTGAAAATTATAGTTAGGTCACACGGGCACAGAGGTCACACGGGCCTCATCGATGCCTTGCCGGCCGCTTCCTACTGCTCTCCCTGCGGTTATGCTGCGCCGTCCACCCCTGAGTAACCCGGCACAGCCTAGCATCTCAGGCGGCCTGTGGAGAGCCGCCTTGTAAGGGAAACCAGCCCAGTTCAGGCATGCGCCGTGCAGATCTAATTGTTGTGCGATATGCAATAGTTTGCCATGCGATCGCCATATCATGATAATTAGATAAACACCTTACTTTTGTCACATCACGAAAATTCCCAGAAATCGTGCAGTCCTTGCAGGCTGGCGAGCATCGTGCGTAAAAGCGCAGATGCCGTAAGACGCGTCCGAGGCGCTGCCCGTAGAGCTGCAGCATCCTGTCAGGATCCATTTCACTGTGCCTAGGCCAAGCTCGCCTCGGCTGCCGTGTGCTGTGAACACTTGGCCGTTGTTTCGCGGTACGATGACCAGCGCCTCTCTACATAACGCGGAAGCAGCACAGCGCGGTTCTCGAGGCAGCCGTTAATGAACGAGTGCCCTTGCCGCGCAATATTCGCTCCCGTCCCTCCCAAACTGACACTGGCTGGGGCGGGACATGTCCCGTGGAGGTGGTCGGTTCAGTGGCGTTGCCCGGTTTGAGCTGTGGGCTGACCTGGAAGTGGCATTGGTGCTGACATTTAATGGACAGGGTGCGTTGATGTATGGAAGTGAAATGAATCATAATGCTTCTGGAAACTGTACGCTTGGGTTTCTTGCAATCGCCCGAAGCATTTGCATTCCTGTGATGTATATATATACATATATATACACATATATATATATATATATATATATATATATATATATATATACATATATGTCTGTGTGTGTGTGTGTATGTGTGTGTGTGTGTGTGTGTGTGTGTGTGTGTGTGTGTGTGTGTGTGTGTGTGTGTGTGTGTGTGTGTGTGTGTGTGTGTGTGTGTGTGTGTGTGTGCAGGTGCGTGTGTGTGTGTGTGTGTGTGAGTGAAGGACCAGAACTAATGAAAAAATGAAAAAAGTTCACATGAACCCACATCCATCTAGGCATAGACTTACAAAGTATGATGGCATTGAAAGACCCGCATGGCGAGAGATAGACGATGCATTTTTCCAACCATGTTAGGTTTGTTGCATCGAGATAGCGTGTGCCATCCTCTGATTTGGCGCGTACGCTCAAGTACCACTTAGTCCCATTCGACGGAGGGTGGAAACTGGATATGGACCCTGAACATCCGACATGCTGTCGTGTGGGCCTGATAGCCTAGATGCTTGCCACTTGAGATGTGCCTACCACTTCCGTTAGAGTCCGGCTCAAACCAAACTCCAACGAGCTTGGTGGTTTCATTTCGGTTTCGTAATGATGGTGTAAGACTAATAACTTGCAACGAGGAAAAGTCAGATGCATTGGGGCAAAATGCATGTCATTACAATTAAGTGCTGTTTGCTTGGAGAGTTTCGTGGTTTATCATGTCTGCCGCGCACACATAAATCATTACTATAATCATGCGACGTAACAGAATATATCATATATAATTTACAGACATAGGTCCTATATGCCCGACGCCAGAGCCTTCTAGCTTTATTTTGCCGCCTCCTTAGACACTCATTTGATCTGTGAAGTGCAGGGTGTTCCATACTTTAGGTTCAAAAGAATAATGCGGAAATACTATAATGCGCTCTGGTAAGCGTAGACAATAGCCAGAATGTTGCCGCACATATTCCCATGTGAGTCACCCCGAGCAGAGAGTATATTACTCTTAGCACACTATGCCCTAAGAATGCATTCTACAGTATGCGTTGATGTACGTAAACTGCGTGTTCATGAAATACATATTCACGAACGTCGTTGAACACTTTGCAGCTTTCGAGGAAGAGTTACTTTAATTTACCTGTTATCCGTTTCAGTGCAGTCATCGCATACAATGCAGGCAATTAACCTTAAGGAAGGCAGACAATGAGCACTGAAAACTTACTGGGGTTTATCTAAACCACTATTTATCCTGAACAGGAATCCATCTAAATATAATTCTTCCAAACCTGCGATGCCGCGCGCGGCAAACACAGCAGCGCTCTGAAACAGGACAAGCGAGCGGTTCCACTTTAAGCATGCGCTGTCGTACTGTAACCCTGTCTGCGTCGTGTTGTCTCCGGATGCGGCCGCCATTTTAGCGGGACTCAGCCTGCGATATCGATCCGGACGGACCAAGTTTGCCAGAGCCCGTGGATCTCCTCATACACAGCGACGGTTCGCGATGAGTGGCTCTTATCGGCTCGCGGCAGCCGCGCAAGCCGCCTCCGAACAGACAGCTCGCCGGGCCACGCATCTGATACATTTCTGTTTTTCAGATGAACCGTCCAATACAAGTGAAGCCGGCAGACAGCGAGAGCAGGGGCGGTAAGTGGTCTCACAGGACGGGCGTTACTCGCACGCCGGGCGCATGGGCGCAGGGCGACAGCGGCCGGCTAGTGTCCCTTAAAGAGCTTATGCGGGCCTTCGCCGCACCCAAGTTTGAAGGTCTTTCCAAGGGCGCAGTTGCTTTCAGTTTGTAGCTTAGACAGCTCTCTGGATTTAGTTCCTCTTGAAACTAGCCGTTGGTAGTAGCTCTTTTAAGGACGCTGCTTTGAAAAGTGAGTGCATCAGGCAGCTAATGGTGGCTAGGTGCATTGCCGTGATGAAATAAGCAGCCTTTGACAGATGCTCTGTGTGGAACAGGCATGAGTACTCGACGAATATTGAGACCATGCCATAACTAAGCAATAAACTTGGATGATGTGCTTCGTATAGAACTTCCTCCTCTTGATTCAGCGATCTTCAAAAGTTCTGGTATCCTCCTCGTTTTTTTCTGATCTTCTCGTGTACGGGCATTTACAGCTCAGTGAAGAAAGTGCTGGAAGTAGCTGGCGGTACTAATGGTATTGATTGCGGGTTTAACAAAAAGAGCGATTTTAAACTCATTGCTGGTTGTGCCATTACAAGTTTGTGAGGACTTTGGACGAATTCAAGCCATTATATTATTGCTGTCCCTGTAGCTCCGTTGGCAGGACCCCGCACACTGAGTCGTGGGTAGCCGACGCGTGAAAACGTGTTCCGACACTGCGCCTCCGTGACTCGTCACTGACGGCTAATTGCCAACTGACCAGGAGGGTCGGGCTGAACCAGTGGCGGTCATGCACGCTTTGCGTAGCGTGCTAAAATCCTCTGACGAAACCTGTCCCTGGAAATGAAATCGTCCTTCTGTAGTGTTCTTTCGTAAAACGCTTGGTAAAAAACACGTGAAGAGCTTGACACCCGATGCCGATCACTGACTCTTCAGTAACTGCAGGCAGCTTTCTTCGATGTCCCACAAACCAATCAAAGCTGAACCTCCCATCTTTCTGCTGTTCGCCAGTGTTTTCCCAATAGATGCGTGAACATGACAGTCATGCGCGAGGCATCGATTGTTCAGAACTTCTGCCCAACCATGTCTCGCTGAAACTCGCCTGCTGGTGTCCGGGTACCACTTTCAATTTGTCTTGTCGGCAGGTGGACGTCCAACACGTCCTTCGCTCGTTGATGAGATTTCGGTCATTTTGAATTGGATCCCGAACTCTTGACTTCCAGCAATATTACTACATTGCAATTTCGAGCAAAGGCATCCAACAGTCCTGGCCGTGGGATAACGTGTGTTCATAGATCTTGCCGTCCCTTGGAAATAGACGATGTTGAAATAGTTGGAAAATTTTGCTCGTAATCATTAAAAAAAGGAAACCTTAAGATAAAATATAATTATTTTTAGCTTTTAACCAGCCATAGGCTCACAGTCTCCATACCACTTTTTGACGTGTTTGGAAACTCCTGATGTACTCTTGGAAAGCTTTGCTCTTCTGGCCTTTGCAATTTCGTGAGACAGTATTAATAGCCTTGCTCAACGCAGAATAAACAGGAGAATGAAGAAACATGTAATATTTCGGCTACATGCCTTTATTTAAACCAATGCCAGTAGTAAACCGGCACTTCTTGGTCCATTCAAAGTCAGTATTTTCAGCAGCAAAACTGATAATGCGAAAACCAGGAGCTCGAGCTTTTTTACGGTTCAGGCATAACGCATACGTCCCCGTCAATACCATACCGCAAATTGCACGCACCGCCCGTCGGTGCACCAGCAGTGCCGGCGCCTGAGCTCGCTCCCCTCCCGCCTCCCCACCTGACTGGCGCTCCCCTGCGTCCCTGGCCCGACCCGGACCGTCTCGGTCGGCAATACCCGGGGGGCGGACGCCGACCCACACACTCCCTAATGATGTAAGACCATCGACTGGCCGGGCTAATCGGCATCCAAGCGATAGGCAATTGCCATGGGAATATACCTACGTGTTCACGGGCCGTGCATTATTCATCCTCCGAGCCGGCGGCGGCGGCGGCGGCGGCGGCGGCGTGCTGTGTCACCCAAAAGGGGATGGGGCGACGGGAGGAGGGGAGGCTGCCCGAGCCTGATCCCGGCGGGGCGGCCGCCGCCGCGCCGCGCCGCTTTCGCCGCGTTCGCGCGCCGCGTCGCGTCGGCCGCTGATTCGGCGCATATCGATTGCGAGCCGCGCGCGCGGCCAATCGTCAGTGGCTGGCGGCGGCCCGCCTGTTGCCCCGGCCGGCCTGTGGTGGCAACGCGCGCCCGTCCCGCCGCCGGCCGGCCCGCACGCAGACGCCTCGCCGTCCCGGCCGCGTCCCAAGACCCGCCAGCAGGTCAGGTGAGCGGCGCACCGGCCGAGAAGCGTTCCGCATGGTGACGCCCGTGAGGCGGCGCTCGTGATGGATCGGCGACCTGCTCGGGGCATGTGAGCTGAGGGACGGAGCGGGAGGGGAGGTGCGGCGGTTGGGGCGAGGTGGCGGTGGGACGGAGAGGTTGATGTTTCGGGTTCTGGGCAGGATCCGGCTCATTGGTGACTGGTGCAGCTTCGACGGTCCACTTGCAGACTGGTGCAACCATGGCGGGAAGGTTGTCTGGGCAAAAGGAGTGCTCTAATGGACCGACCGAGAGTGGGCGGACCGTTGCTTTCCATCCGGGAAGCGGGCTCTAGATGCTTTGGGAAGTTTCGTGACTTAAAATGGCAGATGTAGCGGACAAAGCGGCTGTACAGGTCCAGGAGCGGGCAGTTTCCACGGCGCTGCACAATTTACGTCTCATGGGCCTGCATTGCATTGCCTGTCCTTTCGGTGGGTTGGCATAGTTGTCTCCAGTCGGCCAGTTAAGTGGTCTGTGGGATTCAGTGGACTGGGTTGCGATGTGTGCATTGCTAGCAGCGAAAGCAGCTAGCTCTAACAAAGTTTCTCCTGAACTTCGAGATGAGCTGTTAAAGGTGATTTGTTGCGAATGAGTGGTGTCGCTCCTTTAAAAAGGCATCCTTGAGTTTTGAGATTCTGTGGACGTGCGGCGAACCCCATAGTAAAGCGTTGGTGACCCTGCTTGGACTTTTGTATTAATACTTTGAAGCTGGCTGCGGCTTGCGACGCGTATTTCTGTGACGTTTTACGTCTATGATGAAATTTGAGGATTTCTATGTACTGGCATTCTTCAGACCACGCTCGCACAATTATTCACATTTGTTGTTTTTACCATATTGGCGTCTGTAAAAAAGCCCATGCCTTTTGACGTGTCAAGACATTCATTCAGATTGAAACCCCGTCATGGTGGACAATCTGACGTCTGGGCGCGCAGATGGGTCACTGAATGCAAATTTGTAGACCATGCACGACGCTTGCGTGCTAAATCTGACGCAATGGCTCGCTTTAATTGCAACATTGCAGTCAGCAGCATTAATGACAGTGCTTCCGGCCACAGCTCAAAACCAGCTCTGCATTATTGATAGCAACAGTCGCGGTAGGTACATCCTCATCCTTGCAATGATGACACTCATCGAAAAGCAGTTGCAGCAATTATGTGAAACGGCACAGAAATAGCAAACTGACTCAGTCATATATCGTCGTTCAGTATAAGATTGGTGTGGGGCGCATAGCACAAGGTGCCATTGAATGTTGAAAATAATGTCAAATATTATTTCCTACTTTATTTTGATGTGTATGTTGTGATACGGTATTTCAAAATAAGAAGTGACGGAAGCGCAAAGGAAAGTACTCGATTGGAGTACATGCAAGGGTTATTTTCTTGACAAGAGAACTTCAGCATTGTAAGCGTGCTATTGATATTTTCATAAGTTGTTTAGTTTAAGCATGCAGTCCATGGGCGCACGCACCGATCGTGATATCCAGAAACCACCAGGAACCTTCGGGCTGCTTTTTGAAAGCAGTGAATATCGAAAAAGATCGCTTTCGCGTCATGTAATCCCGCTGAGACTATACACAATCGTGTTTCCGATTCAAACTAAGGTAGGTTTATGAGCGATAACATTTCCTAATGTGTCGAAAGATAACGCTACAATCCGGCCCAGGAGATTATTCCAAGGTCACACTATTCACAGCACTGTGGAAGTTGAGGAATAAGTTGATTCAGCTTCGCGTACAATTGTTGTACAATCATATATATTGGAATGTACATAAGCTTATAATGATATCATGGATATTTCGATGCGTCATTTCCAATGCGCGAGACATTGCTCTGATCTTTCATTCACATTCCGTTTGCATATCCACGCAACTAAGTGAGATGTGATGGGCATGAAGATGCAGCGCAATGCACTTGAACTAGTGTGACACAATTTTTGGCAACGTTTGTGCCTGGGATATGCTGTATGACACTGAAGCTTAATAGCCACATTCGAACGGAAGGTCCTTAAACATGGCCGGTACTTTATCAACTAATACAACAAGGACAACATCAGCTCATTTTAAAACTTACACAGCAAGCTGTCATGAATACAAGCACAAAACCCCTTAGGCGGCTTGGAGAGCGGCAATGATTTTTTTCAGTTCTCTTCGCAACCCTCCTACCCGTATTACATTTCCTAGGATCTCTCCGACGGGATGCACTGTCAACACGTGCCATTTGCATCAGATATTCCATTAATCTTGATAGTTCGCCAGCATGGCCCGTAGCACCTGTTTTTGTCATCGCTAGCGTAAAAGGCTGATGCATTCGGCTCTGTTGTCGGGAAGCTGTTAACATCCCCCTTGAAGACCCCAAGGTCAAAAGGGACTTAATCCTAATTTCGGTTACCCTCGTTTTACTCCGAAATCCTCAAATGCACATTCTGAACGTGGTTCGTCCCAAAACCCACGAAGGCATGCTATGAACATCTCATGTCGCTAGCGACTCTGGTCAGCGTGGTATTGTCTCGTTCCGTGAAGTCCGTCCCGCCCAAATCTGGAGCATGAGCGCTCTTGACTTCGTTCAACGTCTGTTTATGCCGCTGTTAGCGTCCATAGTTTTCTGGGATTTCCCAAGGCTCCTGGGAATATTTGCGTCATGA